CCTCTGGCTCTTTCTCCATGGGTGACATCATTCCCTTGGGTTTGGTGGGAAAGGCTGTCCTGCTGGCTCTTCTCATGGTCAAGACCCAGCGGGTGTTCCTGTTACCACTGCCCCTTGCTCTCCCAGCTTCCCACACTCCACTTGCTTCTTGTATTCTCATTCCTCTCACAGCTGCCTTCTCCCCCTGTCCGGGGCTGGGCTCACTGAGGCCAGTGTGAGAGTGCTAGAGGATGCCAAGGCTTCTGTTTCTCGACGGGGGTGGGGGTGGGGAGGAGAAGACATAAGAGATGCATTCCCCTTGATTGAACTAGCTAGGATGCATGGAATCCAGTCATTCCTATGTGTCAAGTTTCACCATGGAAGAAATGTCCTGGAAGTGCGTAGGAAGTCAGTGTCACCTAATGCCTTCTTTGTGCTGTCCAAATATGCATTACCTCATCTAATCTGCACAATAGGTGTATGAAATAGGAACTATTATTCCCATTTTAAGAATGGAGAAATTGAGCTGCATGTGGTATCTCACACCTGTAATCCCAGACCCGGGAGGCCAAGGTAGGAGGACCTAGAGTTTGAGGCCAATCCCGGACCTGTTCCTTTTGTCTTCAGAATCCAGGTGCTTAAGCAATACAGAATATTATTTTCAGCCAGGTGCCAGTGACTCATGCCTGTAATCCTAGCTACTCAGGAGGCAGAGATGAGGAGGATTGTGATTCAAACCCAGCTGGAGCAAATAGTTCATGAGACCCTGTCTCGAAAATTCCCAACACATTAAAGGGCAGACGGAGTGGCTCAAGTGGTAGAGCATCTGCCTAGCAAGCGTGAGGCCCTGAGTTCAAACCCCAGTACCCCTCCCAAAAGAATATTATTTTCAACATGAGTACAATTTCAGCCCTTGTTTACTTAAATGGAGCCCTTGTTTTATAGATAGCCCTGAATTCATGTATACCCACACATTCAGTCTCACTGGAGAACTGCAAAAATGTCAGCATTATTTCTTACGGATTTTTCCACACTGGAAAAGACTGAATAGGGTCATTTCATTCCTCCCACTGCCTCTGACCTGGACTGCGTTTCGCCTTCTGGAAGGAAGCCTGCCAGCTCAGACTCCTTGCCACTTGGTGAAGTGAAACCTTGGGGAATGGTGCTGAGTCTGTCTCCCTGTGTAGAAGTGACTAAAGGTAGCCAACAGACTGGAGCAATGATCTGAAGGAGTCAGTAGTACTCAGTATGTGATCGATTTATGGGTATGTAGCAAGTGCCAGGTGCCAGCTAGGTTCTGGGGTGACACATTGATGGGTAGATCTCAGTCTCTGCCCTTAAGTAGCAAATGCTGAATAAACATTCCATGAGTGATTGAGCATTTAAACTCGTGGAAAACATGGGTTGAGTGCATAAGTAGCAGGACTCTGGGATGAGCACCTTAAGGGTCAGAGATGAGGTCCTAACGGGCGTGGTGAGTACACATCAGGGGTAGAGATTTGCCTGGGATTGAAAAATCCTGCCATGGGTCTTGACTGTAGGACCAAGTAGCTTGGATTTGAGTCTCAGAGCAATGAAGACTCACTGAATGAGGTGATGGGATGGTGATGAGTGTCGAGAAGACTGGTCATCCACTCATGGCTAGTGGCCAGGAGGCCTTCTTGGAGGCTTCTTCAGCATTCCCGGGAAGGAAGGAGAGATGCAAGACAGCTGCGGGAGCAGGAATCCAACACAGTGCATGATTAAGTTAGACAGAAAAAGGGTGGTTGAATGGAGAAGCCAAAAATGACCAAGGTTCCAGGTCTAGGGTGGGGGGAGGAGAGCAGGAAAGTGGATTGGAGAGTGGGGAGGGATAAGCAGTTTGCCAGGAAGGAACTTACAGCTGCAGCTGAGTACCTCTGAAAGGAAGGAGTCAGGAAGGCAGAAGCAAAGACATCAGAGCCAGGGTCATCAACAGCAGGCGCAGCTACCCCAGTGGGCTCTGTGTCTTGTTGCTGCAGTTGCCACCACTGAAATGGCATATATGTGCCTAAGCAAGTATATGGATTGTCAGGGTGTCTAACCACCACTTCCTGCCTTGGGAAGTTGCATAAAGCAAGAACAATTCATGCACCCCAGCAAAGACCTCCTTGCCCTCTGGGACAGTCAGTCCTCCACTGTCCTTTGATACTGCTGGCTCAGTGAGATCCTAGCTCAAATTCTCCCACCCACCACAGCCAGGGCTAGCAGGGAAATGTTTGACCCAGAAGCCTGAGAGGGTCAGCTGTCAGCCCAGCCCTCCCCTATAGTGCCTCTCTGTCCCCCATCAGTCTAGTAACTCCCCGCCCCCATACTCTGGGCTTAACTCTGGGCATTAAGACAAGCCTGGAAGGTAAGATGATCTCCTGGGTCTCTAGGGGGCTTAAAAACAGATGGTCCCTGCACAGGAGGCTGGCTGTGAGTAACTTGATCAGGAGCTGGGGCGGGAGCTGGCAGGACCAAAGCAACTTGGATCCAGGGGCTGGGAACCTTATGAATATTATCAACCAGAGCCTGTACTCCAAATGAGGCCCTCACCCAAGTCAATCTCTCAGCCCCTTCCAGATGGCACCTGGGACTGGAGCCACAGACACCGACAAAAGGGCTGGGAGAACTGGCCCCAGCATCCCCATTCTGGCATGGCCAGGGCAGCAGAGCTAGTCGGGCTGAGACGGCAAGAAAAGGGCTGGAGCCAAGTCTGAGGGCAGCTGAGAGGGGACAGGTGTTTGGGGTGAGGGGGTGTCACAGGCTGGGAAGAACTGGGCAAAGGCTTTCAGCAAATAGGAGTTTCTGGCCTTCTCTCTCTCCTGACCAGTCAAATGCAAAGAGCAATTAAAGGCCTACCCTTTCTCTCTAAAGTGCCTTTCATCCCCTTTCCACTGCCCTGTAGAGAATGGAATAGCCTCAAAGTCTAGCTCCACTCACTGCTCAGCCACCTGCAGGCAATGCATGCTAGTTAGGACTACAGCATTTACACTGAGACAGGCCTGGGTTTGAGTTCAAGTTCTATGAGATGTTTGGCCTTAGATGAGTTACTTCACCCCTACCACAGTAGGCTCACTTGTTAATATGAAAATAATCATAGCAACCTCATAGGGTTTATATGGTAAGCCTGCCTTATTCATGGATTACGCATGTTTTTTTTTTTTTTTTTTTCTGGCAGTACTGGAACTTGAACTTGGGCCCTTGCACTTGCCAGGCAGGTGCTCTGCCACTCAAGCCATGTCTCAGCCCTATTATACATAGTTTTGACCAAGTGCAGTCAAAAACAAAATGAAACAAAAAAATCTTAAAAATCACAAAACACCATTTCAAAAAATGAAAAAAAATTTAATTCCCGCTCACACGCTACACACCTTGGTGGATGTGGAGTAGCTCTCAGTCAGTCCTGCATTGTCATTCACTATGTTAAATCATTGTGTGAGTGTTTCCCTGCTCTTAATTTTGTGAAAATCTGCCTCCCCAAAAGCAAATGGTGCCCCAAATCAAGGTAAAGGTAAATATGCTTAACTGAACATTTGAGATTTGGGGAAAGGCAGCAGTCCTTAGCAGAAGTTGGGTTGCATTATGGGGAAAGTGAACCAAACACCTGCAGTACAGCATTGACCTATGTGTCCTGAGGATGCATGGATTTTCCTCAGTGGTCTCCTTGGAATCGCGTACCTGCTGAGACCAAGGGTCTGTTGTGTAAAGATTAGATGAGTTGATGTGCATAGAGTACCTAGCACAATTCCTGTTACATAGTAAATACTCACAAATGGTGATTGCTACTTTCATCACCATCATCCACCAAGGAGGAAGGGAGCGGGCGGGATACAGATGCAAAAAAGGACAAGGATGGCCAGCACATTTATGCACCCTCAAACTGATCTTAGCTCTGCTTTTTACTGTCTAATCTTTGGCAAGTTCCTTATGTGCCTCAGCTTCTTCATTTGTCGAACAGAAACAGTAATAGTCACTACCTCATAGGGTAGCTGACCTAAATATAGGTTAACTTTTGGTGTATACACATAGACCCTGACTTAGTAATTTTTTGAACTTTACCATGGTGCAAAAGCATGTCCATAAAACCATTATTTTTCAATTGAACTACAGAATTCAACACAAAGTATGAGATATTCAACACACACACACACACGTATGTGTATATCTTTTTTTTTGGCAGTTCTAGGGGTTGAACTCAGGCCCCACATATTCGCTAGGCAGGCACTCTACCACTTGAGCCATTCCATCAGCCCTTTTTGTGTTACTTATTTTTGCAATAGGATCTCGCTTTATGCAAGGGTCAGACTGGACCATAATCCTCTTATTTGTACTTATTGGAATAGCTAGTATGACAGGCGAGAGCCACCACACCCAGCTTGTTACTGGTTGAGATGGGGTCTTGTGAACTTTTTGCCCAGGCTGCTTTTGAACCTGGATCCTCCTGCTCTTTTTTCTTTGGATACTGGGGATTGAACTCAGGGCCTTACACTTTCGAGGCAGGCACTCTACCATTTGAGCCACTCCACCAGCCTGATCCTCCTGCTCTCTACCTCCCAAGTAGCCAGGATTACAGGTTTGAGCTGCCACACCTGGCTTTGAACACTTTATTATAAAATAGGCTTTGTGCATGGTTTTGCTCAGCTGTAGGCTAAGTGTTCTGAGCGTGTTAAGATAGTTAGACTAAGCGTGATAGTCAGTAGTTTAGTGTATTAAATGCATTTTTGATTTACAGTATTTTCAACTTACCATGGATTTACCTGGTCATAACTCTATCATAAGCAGAGGACCATCTGTACAGCTTTTAGGACAGTTCACTGTCATGATTTATTTCCCTTATCAAGCATAGCAATGTTAAACTTCCTCCTGTCATGGCCAGGGTCTGTGCTGTTCTAGGCTGTAGAGAGGTGGGGTTAGTGGCAGGCAGATGACCCAGGAGTGTGTGTGGGGGGTAAGGAATGGATGTAGGTTTCTGCCTCCCCCCACCTGCTCACAGGACCTTTGCCTTCTTTCCCCCACAGATGTCCATGAAGGAGGTGGGTGATGGTTTGCAGGACCAGATGAACTGCATGATGGGTGCATTACAAGAATTGAAGCTCCTGCAGGTGCAGACGGCTTTGGAACAGCTGGAGATCTCTGGAGGGGGTCCTGTCCCCAGCTGCCCTGAAAGCCCACAGACAAAGCCTGAGCACCCTTGCTGGGAGGGTGGCGGATGTCCCTCCAGGCCTTCTACTGGCTCCCCCTCCAGCCAACCCTCTTTTGGCAGCAGTACCAAGTTTCTGTGCCATAGGAGTGTCTGTGGGAGAGATGTCAGCCCCCTGCCCAGGACACAGCTGCCAGAGCACCAAAGCTGTGCTCAGCAGGGGCCTGAGCAGGTGGACCCGGATGACTGGACCTCCACACTGATGTCACGGGGCAGGAATCGGCAGCCTCTGGTGTTAGGGGATAATGTTTTTGCAGACCTAGTAGGCAACTGGCTAGACTTGCCAGAACTGGAGAAAGGTGGGGAAAAGAGTGAGACTGAGGCGACAGGCGAGCCCAAAGCAGAGAAAGGTCAGCCTCGGGAGCTGGGCCGCAAGTTCGCTCTGACAGCGAACATCTTTAGGAAGTTCTTGCGCAGTGTGCGGCCTGACCGTGACCGGCTCCTCAAGGAGAAGCCAGGCTGGGTGACACCAATGGTCTCTGAGCCCCGAGTGGGACGTTCCCAGAAGGTCAAGAAGCGGAGCCATTCCAAGGGCTCTGGACATTTCCCCTTCCCAAGCACAGGGGAGCCCAGGCAAGGGGAAAACCCCTCAAGCAGCCCCAAGACCATGGAGCCCTCGCCCTCGGGCTTTGACATTAACACAGCTGTTTGGGTCTGAATCCTAAAGACAGAAAATTGGTTGAACTTAAAAGGGTAGTCTCATTGCTGAGCCCTGGGGAAGAGGGAGGGCAGGTGGCATGGCTTTCAGAAGCCCAAATCCAAGTTCCTTCACCCAGAAGGGAGGGAGAAGCCAGAGTTCTCAGGCAGGGCTGACCAAGACACACAGGGCTGGCTAGTGGAGGAGGTAAGAGTTTCTGGAGAGAGAGTATGTGTGTGCATGGGAAAAAGTGAGTGTTGTGCTCGCTTTGGGGCTGGAGGCCAAGTAAGGGACTGGTAGAGAGGGGACCAGCAAATACCTCTGACATTCCTGGACTGCCCTCAAAGACCTCACTGAACATTTTGTGTGAAAAATGGCTCTGGGCCTCAGCTTCCCCAGAGAGGCCTCCCATAAAGACCCATCTCTGATACCCTCAACCTTATAACTTTACATTTCTGGCAAGGCACTTATGCAGGCCCTGTATTGAAGCCCAGCCCTCCAGGGTGGGTGGAGCACCCCAGCCCTTCCTGTTGCCTTGGAAATTTCAGCCCACCCCTGGATCTTGAAACATGGGATGAACAAGGGCAGTGTGGGAAACCCTGAACACTCCTGGTCTTCTGGAAAGCACAAGGTAGGCGTGACCCATTCTCCATCCTGGATATGCTACCTGTCCCAAGATCACAGGAGGTAGACCAGGCCAGGCCCACTGCAGGGTAGTCTGTGGACCCTGGAGTTATACACACTGCCCCCCAGCAGCTCTGAGAGCCCCCATCCCAACACTGACTCCTGTGCTTAACTCCCTTGCAGGGCAGAAGATGTGAACTCAACAGTGAGGTGAGGGCGAGCCCAGCATAAATGCTAGCCCTATCCTTTGGCTCCTCTGTGCTGGGCACAGTGAGGGGGCCAGGGCGGGACCAGGCTCTCCCAAAGCCGATGGAGGTACCTGGTTGCAGTGATCTGGCATGCAGATCCAGGACTGGGGAGGGCCCACCTTGGCCAGCCCTGACCCGAGGGAGAGGACAGTGTGGGCTCCTGCTCAGGCCAAATCTGCCCAGGAAGTCACCCTTGCTTCTCCTCCTCCCCCTCCCACAGACCATAGCTTAGCCTGACAGGGTGTGACAGTGGCATGCTGCCTTCCCCACCACCCCCCGGGCTTTAAGAGACAATTGAAGAAAAGTAACAAGAAAGTCTCTTCTGCCTGCAGCCTGGACCCCCAGGGGGTGAAGATGAAGGGAGTGGGCTTAGAGACCAGTTGGGAGCCAGGATGCAGTAGTCATGGTTAGGCTCATCCGCAAGTTCCCATGCAGTCAAATGGGAGATGGTTAGGTTGGGGTGGAGTAAGCTATCTAGGGAATGAAAGGCCCATTTTTTTTGAGCGGTTGCTATTTGCCTGGCAGTGTGCACAGCAAAAGCTTAGAAGAAATTATTTCCCACATACATCAGTGGAAGCTCTTAGGAGGCCAGGGATCATGCATGGTGCACAGATCAGGCTGCTAGCAAGTGAAAGAACAGACTGGAATCAGAACTATCTGGTTCCCAAGCCCCTGCCCTTTTGGGTCTGCCTCTGCCTGGAGTTTGCCAGTTGAACCAGCTCTTTATGTGCCCGTCCTTGTCCATTCTGTGTTGTCTTCCCAAGAACTCTGACATTTCAGTCTGTGTGAGGGGATGTTGACAGTGGCAGTCTCTGGTAGTGGTGGTTATGTATGTGATGCATTTGAAGAGTTCACACACTGATTTCCTGAGTTGAGGGGGCCACCCAGCAAATTATTTAAGATGTCACCAGCAGAGTCTGGAATGATTCTATAGGAAACTAAGCCACCTCTTGGCCATTCATCTGCAACCATCAGTTTCATGGACTGGCCATAGTTCAGGTCAACTGAAGAACTCCTCCCAGGGCCTGGCATTGTGATAGAAACGGAGAATGGAAATGAAGACGCGAGATGGAAAAGGACCCAGCTGCTGACCTCAAGGGGCTACAGTGGAAAAGAAATAAGCAGACTCTTGACCATCAACTAGCCAGCAGTCATGAGACTGAAGACTCATTTAACTTGGGCCAGAAAAAAATAACTAGACAGAGACACCTGCCGCCAACATAATTCACAGGTGCCAGGAACCTTCAACATGTGTTCTTATTTCCTTTCACTACACTCTTAGAAGTGCTTGTTGTACTCTTATTTTACATGGATAGGCTCAGAGAAGTTAACAACTTGTCCAAGATTACACAGTGTGGGGCCAGGATTGACAGTTTCCACTGAAGTTTCCAATCTTGTGCTTTTCACATTACCTGACAAACTGTATTTGCGCCACAGCCAAATCAAGAACAACAAAACCTGTCTTCCTCATAGCTAATAAATATCAGGCTGACTGTCTGATGGAAGGATTTTGCCTGGGTCTTGAAGGGTCTGATGTAATATCCCACCATGTCATGATTTACTGATGGAAGATTATGGCAATTAGTTTATTTTCCTGTAATTTTTACTTTTCTGACCCCCACCCCTGGGCTCCTGACAATGATGGTGGATATCTGTTTTACTGAAGCTGTGTGAGGAGGTGAATGGGAAGACACAGAGTGCAAGCAGAGCAGGAAGCAGTGTGGTTCTTGGAGGGCAGTGAAAGTAGGAAGAGAGTGACAGCTTAATTCTGCTTCTGGGCTCATTTGATGGTTAATTAGGACATGCAAATGAGCTGGAAGCTCAGTTAATATCCTCCCTGGTGTGCAGGCCTGCCCCACACCTGGCTCATTTCCCTGCAGGTACAGGCTCCCCCCCCCCCCCCGCATTGGCCCAGACATCTGCTCAGGGTTCCACCTGCTTTGTGGCCCATGGCCAGTCTGTAGATGTCCCCCAACCCTAGCAGGAACTTTCAGAGTCCCTGCTGGGCATGATTGGGAGGAACTACCTGGCCTCTTTCTGACCTAGGACCTCTTTCCCCTCTCCCTCAGGCACTTCCTCTGTACCCCACCCCTCAGGGTGACCTCTGAACCCAAACTTGCCCTGAAGAACAGAAGTTTGGTTAACTCTGTCCCTCTCCATCCCCACCTTATCCCCAGAGCCTCTGTGTGTATGTGTGTGTGTGTGTGTGTAACTCCTATCTTTCCAAATCACATCAACACTCCCTCAGGGCCTAGAGAGAGCACAGCCTGCCTTTGGGGAGTAAGGGACTGTCTGCAGCTTCCCTAGAGCAGATCTGCCTCAGGTGACCTCCCGACACGGGATAAGAACACAGGCTGTGCAAGCTTGAGCATATTGCTTGATCTCTCTGAGCCCCATTTTCCTCATCCACAAAGCAGGGATAAATGCAGGGCAGCTGTGCAGTTGAGGACACAATGTACCCAGTGGTCAAGTCCACTGTCCAGAACGACACTCCACAGACACTGTACTACCCACTCCTCAGTGCAGCACTAACCATGTGACCCAGGCATGTTGCTAAAAATGAATACAATTAATTAATTAAGTACTTTCTCTGAGCCTTGGTCTCCTCTTCTGTTAAAAAAATGTATGTTATCTTTACCTAGCAGGATTGTGACAAGGATCAGAGGTGTGAATGTGTTTTTGTACACTGTAGAAATAGTGGGCTATTATTTGCTAAATAGTACGTTCAGACATGTAGGTGGAAGGTGTGTGAAGGGAAGCAGCCTAGCTCTAGCTGGGGTGAAGGTGCTAGAAGACATCACTGCTTGAGGACATTCCCACCGCTCTGCTCTTCAACCTTGGGGCCTCAGTTCCTGGCTAGGGGCAGAGTTGAATGAGGGCCTCAGTTCCTGGCTAGGGGCAGAGTTGAATGAGTCAAGTACCGATGACTTTGGGAAGAATCTGCCTCTGTTCTCTGTTCCTTAGGCCTGGGATGTTGGAGTTCATGCTGGGCCACAGCAATTCCTACCTCCTCCCCACCACACCCCTATACATACATCACACACCAACTACCCTGGGGCCTAAAGGTGCAGTGGCTGCCCTCCTCTGTGAAGCCACTTGGGACAGGGCTTAGGACTCAGGCTGGCACTGCCTGGGGAGCCATGGTGGGCTAGAAAGGCCTCAGCCAGGGCCTCACACTGCTGTCAGTCCCTCAGGACTATGGTGAGGTCTTCCTTTGCTTTCCCCTCCTTCGTCCAACCCCTAAATAGACAGTGTGGGGAAGCCCCTCCCAGGTCCCCTCTGAATTTGACAGGACCTGCTCCCTGCCCCTCCCCTGGGCCACTCTCCCCCAGTCAGTTCTGACTTATTCCTCCACCTGCCCTCTCTGAGCTCAATGAACGCACACCCACAAACTCTAGAGTGACACCTGCCATCATGGTGAAGTCAGCCCTGCCAAAGTCCTGCAGTGAAGTTCACGTGCTTAACTCCTTGTCCCCCACTTCAGTCTGCTTTTCCTCCTTCAGCTTTGCTGAGCACAGTTTGAAGGGGGACCCTGACAACCATCTTACACCTTCCTTTTCCCTGCACCCAGGTCAATCCTGGGTAGCAGGAGCAGGATCTTTGATGGCTGGTCCCCTGTCCAGGGAGCTCTGGGAATCAATTCAATGCCAGAAACCTCCCCCAACCCTGCCAGATCTGCACCTTTGCTCTCCCAGGTTCCCAACTCTCATCACTCCCACCTGACTCTGGACTTGTCTGCCCTGCCCCTCCCTCTGACAGTAACACCCCTGCCCCTTATCTTTTTTGAACTGGCCAGGAAATTTCAGGTACCCAGTCTGAGTCTGCTGGTTGAGGCTGGGGCCTGGTTTGCAGGAAAGCTGACCTCATTCAAAGGATGAATAGGGTTTTATTTTCTTGTCCCTCCCACCTGCTGCTGGAATTCCCATTCCTGCCTTCCTTTCCCTCAGCTCCTTTCCTCTCCTCCTGACAGGAGGCTGTAGCCTGCAGCTGCTAGGAATTACTGCTCAGATCCACAAGGATACAGAGGGGCACAGGATCTGATGAGCTTCTGTGACTTCATCCTCATCTTTCCCAGCGATCTGCTCAGCCTTGCTTCTGGATAATTCTCTTCACTCACTTTACCTTCCAAGCTTTTTTCATGCCACTGTCTGCTATTTCCTGCAGTTCTGCCACTACTTCAGACGGGCTTTATGTCCTTCACTGAACAATTTGCAGGCCTTCCATCTATGAAGCCCTCTCCAGAAACCTGTCTGTGCCGCTGCCAAACCACAGGACAAGTCACTTCTGTGCCTGCTTCCCTTCCCTTCTAGACCATTAGCAGTCCTGGAAGCACAACTACTCTTTCTTCATTCCTGTATCTCTAGCACTGAGCCCAGGACTCCCAATGCGCCTTTCACTCCTCCAGGTGAGCCCTGGGTCGACACACTTCTTGCTTCTGCTTTAAGGAAGGCCACCAGTCAAGTCCTCTTTAGTCGCTTCCCAAGAACTAATTTCACTTGACCTCTCATCCATTCTTCAGGAGAGAAAGGAACCATGGGCAGTCACTTTCAGAGCAGGGGACTGTTCCGTCTCAGCCATGCCCTTGTGCAATCCCCTCTATCCCTGACCTGCTGCTATTTCAATGCAGGCTGTTTGGGAGCCTTTGTCCTCAGGCCTCTAGCTTTCTCACTGTCCCTATTGTTATGCAATCATTCGCTGCTGGGGCCCTTCACATGGTCACAGCCCCTGCCTGCTTAATCCCAAGTGGATCCAAGTGGATCCCAACTTCCACCCCAGAGATTACCACCTTTACACCAGAGGTTTTCTCCCTTATGTTTGGTCTTTTCCATTGACCTTCTTGACCTTGCTCATCTCTATGTCCTTTTTGCCAACATCTGGTCCCAGGCTTACCCAACCAACCCTATGATTTTTTATAACTTGCTCTGCTAGTCGCCCCACCCCTACTGGAGGCACTGAGTCTGCCAGCTTCTCCTCCCCTCATTGTGACTGTGGAGGGAGGAGTGGGGCAGGGCAGGGTCATGGGGAAGGAAGTTGGGATTAGGTGTTGAGTGCCTTCTCTACCTCCAGTCCTACTACTCTGGCCACACTCCAGGCATTGTTTTCCTACCCAGTGCTAAGTGGTCAGCAAGGCAGCATGTGCACAGACATTTGTGTAAAAGCGGTGGGAGAGGTGAGGTCATCAAGCACTTGGAAAAAGCAAGTTTCTTGTAAAGGGGGCAAGTACGGCCACTGAAATTCAGCTCCCCAGGGGAGGGCTAAGGCTAATGTCCTCCCAGACCCTCTTCAAGTGTACATGCACACTGGCCTAGGCAGCTTGCCCATTATCATAGAGCACTGGGCCAGATAAGCAGCTGCTGGAGTCCCTGGACTGAGGTTCCAAGCATCTGTTCAGACAAGTCAACTCCTAGTCCTGAATTTAAGTGGCTAGTGTTGCATCAGGGGTTCCAAGGGCGCAAAGAACTCGTCATGGGCTTCAGGACCCTGCAGGGGGTGGGTGGGGTATGGTGATCAAGTATCATCTTTAAACTCCTCCATCAAGTGCATCCCCCCCACCCATCCCCCCCCCGCCAAGGAAGACAGGCAGGGCCTAGTCTCTGGTCCCACTATTCCTACTTTCCAAACTGGGAAGACTGTATCCTTAATCCTGGTGTTCCTTTAAACTCCCAACCACCCAACTGGAGAGGAAGCCCTGAGTGATGCCCAGAACAAGGTGAACATCATAAATAAGCATGTCTAGTACCCCTCTCACCCACAAGGATGATGGATCCTTGTGGGAAAGTTGGCCCCTACCCAATAGGGGTGGATTATGGAATCCTCTCATTAAGCATTTGTACTACTATTTAGTAGATCCCAGGAAAGGTCAGAAGAGTTGGTGCCTCATTTTCAAAGAATACAGGGAAACTTGGAGGGGATGGGGGTGGAACCTAATATTTATCACACATCCACTAGGTGTCAGGTGCTCTGCTAAGTCTGAGGGGGGCAGACCATGTCAGATAAAGCAGGAATAAGAGCAAGAAAAGAGTTCTCTTTAATCTTCTCAACATCATTGACTGCAAAAGTGTTAATGTTGGTTTCCTTATAAGTTGAATGCTAGCCTGGATCTGATCACAACCATTTGCCTTAGAAAAAGTGGAGGAATGAAGTGAAGAGTGAAGACCATTAGAGTGCATGAGAGAATGCCTTTCATCCTGATCACCAACTCTCATCTAGGTGACTGCTATGCCCTAGTCATTTACCTAACTCTTAGTTCAAGGTCTCCCATGCTATGGCCCCAATCTATTCCAGCTTATTTCTACTACATTAGCCAACACCAACCGAAACCAGAAAACTACTTGTTTGTACCTGTTTCTGTACATGCTTCTTCCTGAAATCTACCTGCAATATGCTTTCCTAACTGTGGAAAATCTCATTTTTGGGGTAGGGTGGGGAGCAGTACTGGGGTTTGAACTCAGGGCCTCATGCTTGCTAGGCAGGTACTCTATCACTTGAACCACTACACCAGCCCCCCTCATTTCTTAAATATCTAGATCAAACTCCCTTCTGAAGCCTTTCACTGCCACCCCAATAGTTAGCATCTGTCTCTTCTGCCTCACACAACTTTTTGCTTAAGATTTCTTTAAAGCACTTATTAGTCCTTTGTGAACTTTATCTATAGACAGCCCTCCCTGTATCTGGGTCAGCTTCTTTACTTTCAAAATATTCCACTCACTGAGCTTACTCAGGTTTTCTTCTCAACAGGTCATTCCCACTAGCACCACCTATCTTAAGAGCTAGTTGGTGACACTTGATGTCTCCAGTCTGTCTTCCCCCTTTTTTCCTACATCTGCTTCTGTCACTGCTCCCACCATTCCACTGACAGTCCGCCAAGGTCACTAGTGACTT